TGTGGGGCTCGATCCCAGGACCCCGGGATCATAACCTGAGCGAAAGGTAGGCGCTTAACTAACTGAGCCACCCAGGTGCCCCTAGGCCTTTAGTTTTAAACTAATAATAATAGTAGTAGTAAAAAGGATTTCCATGACATCTTCTGAAGAACTAATAGTGAGGAAATTCAAGAAAGAGAATTATGCCATTCTGATTAAACTTACTGAGGTCATGGCACATCTTGCTTAAACCACTTCCTTAAATCCCAGCTTCAAGGACTGAGGCTGTTTCTACAAGGAACCTTAGAGACTCATGCCTTTAGAGGGTCTGAAAACCCATCTTCCTTCTAGACTGATCCAAGACTTGTTTCATAGAGTCCTCGAAGAGCACTGAGTAGGGCCAGTGGGAAAACTTCAGGCAGAGAAGAGATGTTGGCTCAATAGGAAGAAGAGCTTTTCAATCATCAGAGCTGTCTGTGAAATTAGAAGTATTGGATGTGCCATGTCATGACCTGGGAAATTCCTCGTCACTGTTCAGATAGAGGACAGAAGTAGAGAGGAAGGAAGGAGCATCAGTCAGTGGGGAGGTCCATGGCCTTTAAAGTCCTTTCCAGTTTCTGTGGGTCCAGGAGTCTCCTCCTGGCATTCTGAAATAAACTTCTGAATCTAGTTGCTTACCTGAGCTAACAAAGGCAAGAAGGAACTGAATCTCTAATTGGTCAGGCCCATTGTTTTCTTGAAACCAGCCTTGTTCCCTCCAGAGTCACTGCTTTTTGGAAGGGCTCTATCTTCCCTCAGGACAACTAGGCCAGACCAGTACTTTACCAGGCAAACGGAATCCAGCCAAAACAAACCCAGCCTTAGAAATGTGGAAAACAGCTATTTTTCTGGCTACCATGCAGATGGCTTCAATGATTCCTCAGGTCCCACCTCAGAAAGACCTTATCTTAAAAACCATCAGATCCTACTTGATTTAACTCCATGTCCTGAAATAGGATGTTCTGCGTCGTGACGCTATAAATTAACTTCGTATTCTGACAAATTAACTGGTGTGATTAAGTCAAGCCCCATTTGTTTCCTATTTCCTCTTTCTTCAGCTCCACTCCATCATAGGACACTGGCAAAAAAAACAAAACAAAACAAAACAAAACCCAAGTCCTTGGTTCATGCAGGGGAGAAGTACAAGGGAAAAGGAAGGAAAAGCATCACTGTGGTGTGTGGTTTCGTTTCCCACAGTTGGCTTTGGAATTTATCTCTCTGACTGCTTATTACTCACTGATTGTCATCAACCACCAACCCCAGGGAGCGCTGGGGAGACAGCAAACAGAGGTGAGGAGGATGAAAAGGGGACAGGAAGAGCAGAAGGAGGAGAGAAAGAGCAAACAATAAGACCATACACAATTCCCAACACCCCCATGGGATTCTCTCAAAAGAAAAAAAAAAAGGCTACTCCTTTGGCATGGCTGCAAAGAGTTGAGTTCACTCTACTGTATTAACAACTCCTGGGTATCACCTCCAAGGAGAGCACGGGAGTTGCTGCAAAAAGACCCTCATAATAGGATGCAGCCTCTGCTCTCATTATCATGGGTGTATGGTCACCAAGGCAATCTTTTCTCTGAAAACAGAGGGACAGCAAGAACCATGGTTGAGTGCAAATGCCATAGATACCCTGAAATGGCCCCACAAGATTCCAGAGCGGTTACTTCAGTGGATTCGAAAACACCTCCCTCCCCCGTTTTATGCTTAAATGCTTCCCACTCTTTTTTATGCATTGTGTTTAGTTTTACACTTAATATGTTTATTTTGGTTTTAGAAAAAGGAGGAGGCTGCTCATGAGGCACACTTGTAACTGGCAAATTCACTGGGAAGCTCTGTCCTAGAGCTATACTCTAACTGCAGAGTATCTTACAGCATTTCTATGCATTAGGTCTGATTGTAAAGCATTTACTACCCCTGCAGTTGGTGGAAGAAGTTTCCTCACTCCTTTTCGGAATAAGACCTGTCCCTCTTACACACACACACACACACACACACACACACACACACACAAGTATTTGGAGCTATGTGTTATGCAACTTTGCATTTCCTGCTCCCATGCTTTGGATGTAATAAATTACCAATAAATGTTATTTTATTTTAGTTTAAGCCTTTTGATTAAAAGATGGGGGCGCCTGGGTGGCTCAGTCAGTTAAGCATCTGCCTTCAGCTCAGGTCATGATCCCAGGGTCCTGGGATGGAGCCCCGCAACCAGCTCCCTGCTCAGCAGGAGGCCTGCTTCTCCCTCTCTCTCTGCCTGCCGCTCTGCTTACTTGTGCTCTCTCTGTAAAATAAATAAATAAAATCTTTTAAAAAAATAAAGATGGGAAAGTTTAGATAGTGCTACCTACGTAACCAGTATTCTTTTCTTCCTTATTCACTCTCCTACTATTCCCCCAACGCTGAACCCTGACCTGAGAGCTTTGCTGATCTTTGATATGTTTAATTCTCTCCAGTTGAATTCCCAGTACAGTATATATATACAAACAGATTCATCCACTCACACAATATTTGTTAAACACTCGGGGCATCTGCCTTCGGCTCAGGTCATGATCTTAGGGTCCTGGGATCGAGCCCCCATCAGCCTCCCTGCTCAGTGGGGAACCTGCTTCTCCCTCTCTCTCTGCGGCTCCCCCTGCTTGTGCTCTCTCACTCTCTCTCTCTCTCTCTCAAATAAATAAAATCTCTTAACGAAAATATTTGTTAAACACTAATATGTTCCAGGTGCTGTTCTAGATACTGGGGATACTAATGAGGAAAGCAGACAAGGTCCCTGACCTCTTGGAATTAACTTCCAGTGGAAAAAACAAAATATAAACAAAGTTTTAAAATGTATTTATGGCAAGGTGATCAAGAAGACATTTCCGAAGATATTTCACTGAGACCCCAGAGCAAGCCAGGTGAAGGTATGAGGGAAGAACAGTTAAAGAGAAGAAAAGAACAAGAGCACAAGCTCTGAGAGGGGAAAATCTTGAAATGCTTGAGGCCATGTGGTTGGAGTGCATGAAGGCAAGAAAGAAAAGCAGAAAACGAGCACAAAGAGATCACAAGGTCCTTGCAGACATGGTAAGAGATTTAGATTTTATTTTAAATGTAACAGGAAGTCATTCAAGAGTTTTGAGCAAGGAAGTTGCATGACCGCTTTGGTTATAGGATTATACTGAAGGAGAGCAGGAGTAGAAGCCTCAGAGTCTGCAATTATCCAGGTGAGAGATGACTGATGGTGTCTGGAACCACTGTTCTTGTACTGGAGGTGATGAGAAGTGGTCATATCTGATACATATTTTGAAAGAAAACCATCAGTGGATTGTCCTGGTGTGGGGAAGTGTGGAAGAAAGAAATCAAGAATGAGTCCTAGGTTTAGGGCCTGAGCAATAGTGAAATGTAAATAATGCCATTTAATGAGATGGGGCAGTTAAGGCCAAGGAGAAGGAGCTTGGGAGGAAAAAACCAAAACAATGTGTTTGTGATGTCCATTACAAATCCAAATAAAAATCCAAAGCAATTAAATACAGACATCTGAAGATCAAAGAGAAGTGAAACTTCGAGATCTAAATTTGGAAGGTGTTAACAGATTTATTTATTACCATTAGATGTTATGATCTGTTCAAAAACAACCCATTTTAAAAGTTTTACTGAAAAATTTAAAAAAAGGGAAACAAAAAAAATATCAAGGATCACAACTATCCCAAAAGAAGCAGTTTAGCTTGATGAATTAGATTAATAATCACTTCCCTTCCAACTAGATGATCTCTTCTGGTTAAATACAGAAAGATGGATCAATCATTGACTCATTGATTTTTCTCTTTTTTTTACGTATACCCTTTCCTCTGGCTCCCAGCGTACCGCATCAGCCTCCTTCCCTCCCTGCAGAAGAACAAAACAGTTTCCCTGGCAGAGAAGTGTGAATCACTATGACAAAGGTGGATGCTACAATCAGTGCAGAGAAGAAACAGTATTTGGATAATCTGTGAACCTTAAGATAATGCTTGTTCAAGAGAACTTTGTTCACTGACTGTATAGATCTTTGGAGATAATATGAACTGAGTGAGATTTAATGACATACCGACTCCTCAAACTGGAAAGATGGAAGGTCTTGGTGTGCTCTTGGTTGCATCTTTCTTTTCCTACTAAAGACAGTGTGACAGTTCCCTCCCATAGACCCTACTTAGAGTTTTGCAAGAGAGTTGACACTAACCATGACCATCGTTTGATGTGATTGCCGCCTGTGATTTATCTTCTTTGCCTGGGCAAGCTTTGGGAAAGAGGCTGGCCTCAAACTAAATTAATATAAAAAAAAACCAAATTGATTAGTGAGGCAGCCAGGAAATGGATAGTGTTAATATTTTAATAGGGGTGATAACACTGGCCTCCAGAAAGAGTTCACTTATTGACCCCTCTGGCTGCTTTTTATTTGACGTGGTGACAAAATATACCCTTCATTAATCAACTTAACTAGTTGGTCTGTCATTCCAAGGCCACACTGACATAATGAATGAAGTCTGTCTTTTGGAGCCCTGCTATGACACTGTTAAATATAGAAAGGAATTTGGCAAATATATCCATGGAGCATTCTCATATTAAAAAAACTAACAAGATCATTTTATTAGAACCCAATATCAGCAAAAGAGCAAATCCCCAGGGCATTTTCTCTGTGTGCTAAGAGCCACTCTTGTTAACCAAAGTATTGGGGCCTATTTCATGAAATTGCTTTTTTGATGAAACTTCTGTTAAAGTGCTCCTTTGCCTTTAAGCTTGTGAGTAGAACAAACCAGACAAAGAAGTGTCTTTCTATGTGTTAACACAACATATCTCAGCACCTTTATTTATCTCCACTTCTTTTTTCAGATGGTACCAGGGGTTAGAATTGCCCTCAGAGCTCAACTTTATAAGGGGGACAGGTAGCAACCACTTGAAAATTTTCAATCCTATGAATGTTGAATGTCCAGGAAATATGCAGAAAGCAGTTAAGAATGAAGTTGTGGCAGAACCAGGAGCTATTTGTCAGGATAAATAAGGGCTTGTTCAAGCTATGAAAAGGCCCTAAAAGAGAAGGTGGTTAAAGGGTCTTGAGACCAGGAAGCTTATGGTCATGTTCACTAAATATTACTGGATGAAGGAACGAATTAAAATGTCCATTCAGGTTAAGAAGCTACTTCAGGAGGCATCACTTTTTATACCATAGGAGGAATGCTGGGCAAAATGTTCAGGTATCCTGACCAGAGAACAGACTGATGTCTAGATAGATAAGGAAGGGGGCGCCTGGGTGGCTCAGATGGTTAAACGTCTGCCTTTGGCTCAGGTCATGGTCCCAGGGTCCTGGGATCGAGTCCCGCATCGGGCTCCCTGCTCCTTGGGAGCCTGCTTCTCCCTCTGCTTCTCTCTCTCTCTCTCTCTCCCTCTGTCTCTCATGAATAAATAAATAAAATCTTAAAAAAAAAATAGATAGATAAGGAAGGGATCAGGATCAAGAAGTTTCGTGGACTGGCAATCAGTAGAGGATGACTCCTGAAGAACTAAGGTCCTGCATGGATTATAAGGCAGGGACCTTGGGTCCAAGATGGTGGCTTCTATGAAAACTGTACAGAGTCAGAGCAGAGTTGTCAGTGAAGTGCCTCTTGGCCTTGAGCTTATATTCTCCTTGATTAGAGGGGAGCCTGGGCCAGAGTCTGAACAGATATAAGCTTAAATTGGAGATATAATCCAACTTAGGGAATTGGTAGATGAACTGGTAAGGGCGCCAGACTAGTCATTACACCATCTTCCTCTTCAAGGGTTCCTATAGCTAGTTTCATGGGAAGGAGCTACCAGGACGTAGAGATATCTCTTCTTTGGCCAAGAATAAAAGCATACGCTTTGGATTCAGTAAAAAGTTTCAGCTTCCCCATCTGTTAGCTAACAACAGTCTGGTGATAGTAACATAGCCTCTTTGTATGTAAAACATGTAATGTGCCTAATACTGTGCCAGACTTCCTCTAAGTTGTACACACACAAAAAAAATTGTAGTTGTTGTTGCTGTTGTTGTTGCTGTTTTATTTCAAGAATTATAGAAGCCTTACCACATGCCAGACACATCATCTAATTTGGCCCACCCAACATCCCTTGAGGTAGGTACTACTGTTACCACACACTTATAAATGAGAAAAGGGAGACCGCAAGAGATTATGTAACTTGACCAAGGTTACACAATTTGTACAGGAGGAACTGATATTTCAAAACAATTTGTCTGACACTAGAACCTTTGCTCTTATAATATACTGATCCTTGAAAGTATGAAACCATAATTGAGTCTTAAGTCTATTTTGGAATTTCAGATGGTCCCTCCCAGATGATTCCTCTAGGATGGTGTACATCACATATGGGGTTTATAGATAACCCCACCCTAACACTGACTTTTCTGCAGTTACTGAAGGTCTTTCTAAATTAGCTCTACTCTAATCTGTTCCAAGTGGCATGTGAACATCTGGCTCTCTCTCAAGACAACTCAAAACATATATTCCCACGTAAGATTAGTGAGAAAAGCATTCAGCTGTGCATGAGGATTCTTCTTTAACTACATCGGGCTTGAAACCAATTCTGCTGGTCTCTAGGTCATCAAGGACATGCATGATACTGTGTTCCCTAGGCCCGAGCACCCAACTAAAGACCCTAGGATGAGACTAACACTGACTTCAGAAACATTAAACAGGCTTTGAGATGCACACTGGGCCTGTGCTCATAGACAGCATGGTTGCACTAGGCTCTGAAGCTACGGGAGGGCACAGGACTATAGATTAAAAAAAAAATAGGAGATTCAAGATCTTGTGATGCCCCAAATTCCTGTCTCTGCAGCACCATGAACCTCTAGGGTTGTGAGGGTTTGGAAACCAAGTCAGAAGAACATCAGAAGTGTTGAGGGTCTCAGCTGAATCTAAAATACTAAGTTCTTTCAGGAACTGGCTAGGCTGGCCTTCCACAACTCAGAGAAGACAAGTATTCACCTCTAGGATCTAGTGAAGATATTTGAGCCATGTTAAAGAGCAACTTTATTCCCCTATAGATTCTTAAAGGCTTATTGGAGCTCAGCATGAGAGTCCCAACAACCATCATCCCCAGCAAGCACTGACCGTGGTCCACTGCTTCATGTCACCCCCTTTCCTAGAGGCTCCATCACCTTGGCTTTTTTAGAGCTGGAAGCCCCAGCCTCTGCCATACACAGAGGAGACTATACTTGCTAGCATCCCTGGGGCCTGTCTAAAATTCACCACGAAGCTCCCTAAGCACCAACCTTTCCCCACTGGGGAAATAGGACTGTGGTCCACAGCAATGGACTCAAGACAATGGGGCAGCACAGCCTTCAGAGTCTTCACAGAATATTGGGGAATCAGAAATGAGGAATTGCTGAAGTTCTCAACAGCACTACTGAAGCCTCTCAGCCATGCTTAGCAACAGAGGGAGAAAATCCCTGGTCCCTGGGGCTTCTATTCAGAGTAATACAATCCAGTATTATATTAATTGAGTATTCTCAATCAGTGGTATGGAGAGGCTGAGAAAGCAAGTACGTGGGAGGTACACATAGCAGAAGGCAGGGTCTCGTTATAATGGAGCAAAGTTTAGAACAGGATTTGGGCCCAGAGAGAGGACACAGAGACAATGTACTTTTCTCCTCCTTCACAGAACAGCTTTCTCCCTTTACAGGAAAGCTACTGTAGACAAGCATCATAAGTACCATAGTCAGGATCCAGGCCATTGTGTAGTCTAATCGGGACCTGGATGGATGGCAGGATAAGCAAGACGGAAAGGACAGTCTCAAGTTGCAAAAACTCAACAGACCTGCAGGGACATGGGACTCTGGGGCTATAGGTTGGAGCAGCCACACCAGGCTTTAAAGCCTTGTGTTCTATCTTAAATTGTCAATAGAATATGCTCATATATGTGTACTTTCATCTTTTGTATTAAAAATAACAATAAAATGAGAATTTTTTAAATCTATATTTTGGAATAAAATCAACTTTCAGGGAAGATGATTCACGTTTTTCTCTTGCAATTCCCCCACACTCCTTGGCACACTGTTCCATGTATGTAGGTGTATTCAGGCCTCTATTTGAAAGTCAGAAATATAGTGAAGGCCCAGGCAAGCTGGTAGGCAGCCCCCAGAAAACTTTTGATGGGTTTATTCGTAGTCTGGACACAATTGAGGAGAGAATCTCTGAGCTTGAGGATACATTAATAAAATCCTCAAAAGCCAAAAAGCAAAGAGAACAAAGACTGAAGAATCATAAGCAAATAAATGATCATTGTTTAAACCACTGAGTCTCAGGGAGAATAGATAACTGAAGCACACTGTAAAGATTTAGCCTCACAGAGCTATCTGGAAAATAGGGTCCAAGTGGGAGAGAGCATGTCTTGATGCTTCCCATGCTACTACCCTATGGCTCCAAAAGTTCTCCCTGAGGAGATCTTGCCATTTGCAACGACGTGGATGGAACTGGAGGGTGTTATGCTGAGTGAAATAAGTCAATCAGAGAAAGACATGTATCATATGACCTCACTGATATGAGGAGTTCTTAATCTCAGGAAACAAACTGAGGGTTGCTGGAGTGGTGGGGGGTGGGAGGGACGGGGTGGCTGGGTGATAGACATTGGGGAGGGTATGTGCTATGGTGAGCACTGTGAATTGTGCAAGACTGTTGAATCACAGATCTGTACTTCTGAAACAAATAATGCAATATATGTTAAGAAAAAGAAAAGAAGAAGAAGATAGCAGGAGGGGAAGAATGAAGGGGGGTGAATCAGAGGGGGAGATGAACCATGAGAGACAATGGACTCTGAAAAACAAACTGAGGGTTCTAGAGGGGAGGGGGTGGGGAAGGGTTAGCCTGGTGATGGGTATTAAAGAGGGCACGTTCTGCGTGGAGCACTGGGTGTTATGCACAAACAATGAGTCATGGAACACTGCATCACAAACTAATGATGTAATGTATGGTGATTAACATAACAATAAAAAAATTTTTTTAAAAAGTTCTCCCTGAGGAGTTCAGGGACAGGGAATTAGAAAGGGTTCTAGTGCGTTCACTCATTTCCAAATTGTAATGAAAACATCCCAAATTTCCACAAATATCATTCTGGTAAACATGGAAATTCAACAAACACACTTACTTTAACTGATAAGCCATGTAAATCTATAGCCTTGTCTATTGCTATGATGTTCAGACCTTACTAGTTCCTAGTTCTACCACATTCTCCACATGTCCGCCTGCATCAGAGTGGTCTTGAGCTGTCTCTGTCTTGCCTATGCAGTGCCCAACACAGAAATACACACATGCAGGTACTTAATATCCCATGGAGGGCAACAGTAGCAGTGACCATGATTTCTGGATTGTTGGGCTCAGTCAACACCAGCTATGAAGCAACAATGGTAAACGAAGTACTACTCAAAAATTCCAACTAGGCAGGCACCTGGGTGGCTCAGATGGTTAAGCGTCTGCCTTCAGCTCAGGTCATGATCCCAGGGTCCTGGGATCGATTCCCGCATCCGGCTCCCTGCTCCTTGGGAGCCTGCTTCTCCCTCTGCTTCTCTCTCTCTCTCTCTCTCTCCATCTCTCATGAATAAATAAATAAAATCTTTTAAAAAAAATCCAACTAGGCAAACAACTGGTAAAGCTATGTGGGACAAGACATGATGACTTTCTCTTCTTCTCACTATGCAATATCAGTGAACAACTGCAAAGGAGAGAACAGTCATCAACGGTTCATATTATAGGATGCAAGGTTTTGGAGGAAGATGCAAGATCTGTCCATCCCCCTGCATCAAGGCAGAACCAACCCCACTCCCCACCCTTGCTATACAAACCACTTAGAGAAAAGCACTGGGCTTTATCCAGGAGGTAGCATCCATCCAGCTGCACCTGCTATAACTGCTAAAACCAACAGAAGCCTCAGCCACAGGATGCCACTTCCATTGCCATGGAAATAGGCAGGCTTTGGGCAAATTCAAAGTACATGCTTAAAAATAATTTTGCAGCTTCCTTTGAACCAAGATATATCGTTAGCTGATATACATTTTAGAGCCCCCGTTGACATGTGTCTGGAGAAGGGGCGGATTAATAATAGCTTACATTTCTTTAGTGCTTTTCATCCCAAAGGATCCCAAACAAGAGAAATAAGCTGAATCTTTTCTTCTTGTTTAAGGGAAAAACGCTAGTGAATTTCAAAGCAATCCCAAATACTAGAACCAATTACAAAGAAATTCACTTTTTTAAGTGTCAGGACATAATTATTATTTTTTAAAACTTGAATAGTATCCACATTGCTCCTGAGAGCTCACAAAAAAATGCCACCATCACCATCTCAGAAGGCTATCATCTCTTTCCAACAAAGACAACAGTTGCAGTGCCAGGAGATTTAGAGACAGTATGGGTGAAGAGATAAAAATAATAATAATAATTAACAATGGCACAGGAAGCTCCATCTGGAGCATCTGATAACACAGTAGGAGATGGATACAGATGGGAAAAGGTGGGTGGCACAGGGTAGAGCTTGTCCTAATCTCATGGGCATGAGACCCCAGACATACTCAGATTAGCAAAAGGCTTGGTTTTTTCTACTCCTTGTGATTCTAATGGAACTACCCAGGCCAGAGCCAGCGTGTTTTACCAGTGTCCAGGAAATCTGGGCTCTAGATCACAGTATTATTCTGTCTGGCATCATGACAAGGTCAATAATACATTTACCAGTGTTTGATAATCCTGGATTAATATAGCTTTTCATTCTCTAAAGTACAGATTCTTTCTTAGCTTTAACCTAAGTAATTTGCATATACTTCCACATAGTAATTCCAGGCACAATGCTGCTTATTCTGAGCTTTCTGCCCTGATTGACAGTTAATTAGAACCTTGAGATGTCGGCAGGTGTCGAGATGAAAAGACATCATAAACCCAGTTACAGCATAGACAATGGCTTTTTAATAATTCGTCTAAGTCATGCAGTTCCCAACTATCTCACGCTTTTAGGATGAGTAGGTGCTTGATCCTGGAAGACTACTGAGCAAGGAGGACCTCTGCTGTTAAAAAGGAACCAACATCTACAGAGGGACAGGGAAAGTGCACTTCTGAAAAGGAAAACACAAAGGCGCTTCCACCAGGACATTCACAAAGAACACAGGAATTTTTTTTTATCAATTTGCTTTCCTTCCACAGAGATGCCAAACTAGCGAGAGATGGACAGACACACCCCCACCCTCCCATCTGCCATTGCTAGTGAATATGATCTTATGGATGAATAAGAAAAGTAAGCTGTTGAGAAGATAAAATTATCTCATTTGGAAAGAGAATATGCTAATCACACTGGGACTCTAAATGAAGCCATTCTTTCCCTTTAGTGTCATAGTTTGAGATTCTAGTGTTTAACTCTTACTTGATATTCATCATGAGGACGACATTCTCAGCACAGGATAGATGTATAAAGGGAAGAACTTTCTCCCAGTGTGTCACTGGGAAGAAAAAGGCTGTCATTACAACTGCCTTCACACACACCCTCCCCCCACACAGGGTTTTGTGAACTCCAAAGATATCTCCTTTTAACTTGATTTTTTCCAAAAAAGGTACTGATTGTACAAATCTTCATAGAGGAACTATTATTTGCATAGACTTGTGTTAGGTGCTGTGGGGATACAAAAGTAGAAGACGGAGGTTTTGCCTCTGAGAAGCTGCAAAGTATGATTTACATTGCATTAAAACAAATAATACAATAAAAGAGAAGCTTTACAGTGTGCTATCACTTAGTGCTAACAGCATATTAAAAACAGTAAATATACTAGGGTTGCCTGGGTAGCTCAGTCGGTTAAGCATCAGACTCTTGATTTAGGCTCAGATCATGATCTCAGGGTTGTGAGATCGACCCTGTGTCAGGCTCTGAGCTCAGTTCAGAGTCTGCTTGAGATTCTTGCTCTCTCTCTCCTTCCGCCTCTCCACCACATGGTTTCTCTCTCTTTCTCTTTCTGTCTCTCTCAAATAAATAAATAAATAAATCTTTAAAAAAATAGGAAGTATTATTCATTTAACAAAATTAGAGAACTCTGAAAACTGAAAAAGTCAAGGGAAGCTTTAAAAAACAGATCCTTGAAGAGAAGTAAGATTTGAGTTAGCCAGAAGAAAAGAGGATATTCCAAGTTGGAAGCTGGGATAGGATGTACTTGGATAATGACAGTGGGGTTGGAATATAAAGATTTGTTTTAGGGACTAGGAATAATTCGGGCTAGCTAAAGAGATGGGGTCCTTCGGGGCCAAATTTTGAGGGTCGTTAATGCCTAATTCAATGATACCCAGATATTTGGGATTGTACATCTTATTAGTAAAGATTTTTGAGCAAACCCACTAAAGGGGGTAGTTAGTGGCTGACATAGGTGGCAAAAGATATACACTTTTTAAATAAGAAAGGAATCTCAAAAGAAGTTATCATTAAGTACAGCAACATTCTATATTTTATTAAGTGTCAAAGGCCTTTAAACACGATTAAAATATTTGTAGCTATTTGACTTCGTTTTTTGAAGATAGAGACCCAGATGCTCATGAAGGTTAAGTGCAAGACTGTTCACCTGCATGAGTATCTCCCCCGCAATGTGTATTTCTGTAAAGGTTGCAGAGGTGAGATAAAGGTAAGAAAGTTTGACTGTAATTAAGGCAGTGCCCTTTTCCATTCTGAGTATTCTGTTACACCTCCTTTGTGTTAGAGGGAACATAAGTGGATACAACCATTTTGGGGATCTGAATAAGGGCAAGTGGAGTTGGGAGTACATTTAGCTCGGGTTTAGTGAGATCCCTTTCTGTGGGTCTTAAGCTCTTCCACGTGTGGTTAGGTTATCACTAGCCAGCCCAGTAGAAGATGCCTTCCAGGAATGCTCCTGCCCACCACACTGACTCCTGCGACGCGAAGGCACACAATCAGAGGGCATACCACAACATGAATGTGTTCTATAGTATCAAAAATATATGGAAGTGGAGAGAAACAACGTCTGAAATTATGGAACCAGAAGACAATCTGTGGAAAATTCTTCCAGTCATCAGATAGGTAACATTATAAACAACCATTTGGTTCTCATTGGATATTCTCCTGTCGCCATATTCATTTTTAAATAAAACATAGCTTTTTTTAGTTTTATTTTTATTGTATTCACATGAAACAGAATTTATTATAATTCTTATGTTTGTGAGGCACAGACCTACAGCAGTACTACAATCAGTAAGTCTATGTGTGAAGTCACATGATTTATGTATGCCATCTATCAGAGCACATCCGAGACTGTCTCATGTATCTTGTCCTGATGAAATCTGGCAGGACCAGATAAAATGGCATACAAAATTGCCACCAACATAGCAAAACGAATAAAGAATAGATGTTCCTGCAACAGAACTCCTACATGTTTGTTTACCAATAAGCCAAAATATATAGCATAAGAATAATTTGACTATACAGTTATGTAGCTCACTGCAACATGAGGGCATTTTTTAAATGCATTTGAATTTCCTCTGATCAATTGGTATTATTAGTTCAAAGAGCATTTAAAGTTAGTCTTGCATGATAAAATATTAACCTCCCCCAAATCTTACAGCTCAAGTATTAACATGGTAAAAGTTTCCCCAAATTTGACTACAACCCTAAAAACCTGTATAACATTATTAGTAACAAATTATTAATAATAAAAAGTTTGATCAGTTATGCTAACGAAAAGTATGAGTATGCTTCTATTATGTCTTTAAAAAATACTACAAAGTAATTGTCATACAAAAGGGTGTTCAAAGAAGATGTAGCTAAAAAAATATAGGAAGAAGGGGTGCCTGGGTGGCTCAGTCGGTTAAGCGTCTGCCTTCAGCTCAGGTCATGATCCCAGGGTCCTGGGATCGAGCCCCGCATCAGGCTCCCTGCTCAGCAGGAAGCCTGCTTCTCCCTCTCCCCCTGACTGCAGCTCCCCCTGCTTGTGCTCTCTCTCTGTGTCAAATAAATAAATAAAATCTTTAAAAAAAATACATAGATATAGGAGGAAGGTATTATAGAGGCATGTCAGCAGTTTATTTATAAAAACACTATGTTATTTTTCTGGATCTTGTGTTGTTTGTGGTATTTCCTGCTTTTTAAGATGACTAATTTGTTGTGATTTCTTTTCATTCTAAATAAATGTTCACTTTCACACTTAACTTTGCATTTGCCATTTTGTGTTTTTTTCCTTAAAGAATCCTCCAAAACTAAACTGAGGTTCAAGCTCCACAAAACCAGAATATTGTCCTTTCTAGGTGTGCAGTTCACAAATATCTTGCTGATTTAATGGCTCCGTACTATCACTAACTAAAATCTCAAATACAATAAACACTTAAAGTTAAAAGTATTGTTAAATATAAGGACATGAATTCTTATCTCAAATTGTTACTTCGGTAATTTTGAATCTTTTTGATCAAATTCTTGTCAGACCTGATTAACTGCACTATTTTTACCATATAATATGGCTTACAAAGCATTTACGCTAAGAATAGAAGTAACAGCTTGACCTTTTTTGTTCTCTTGTACGTGCAGTTACTATTCTCTTCAATCTGATTTCTTTCCTGCAATCTTTTTAAGTCCTTTGCCCGTTCTTGAAACCATACAATCAATAAATCATTACTAGATGCATCTAAATAAAAGAACATCACAATATGCTGGAAGTTAACCCCAAAAATGAGGGAACCGCTGCTATACTCTTAACTACTTTGAAATTTAATTACTTCAAGATATCTCAGGTGTCATGAGTGGTATGATCATGTGACATACAGTCTGAAAGGCAGTCCCTGCATTAATCTGTGTATGAGACATTAGAAAAGGTTATTTTCTTTTTTACCTAAAGCTATATATAATTGTTTATATAGTATAGGGATAGTAATAAAAGGTTCTGCTACATTATTCTGATTGTCTTTCACATCCCCTAGCTGTACCCACCTCACTTTGGAGATTACTGGCTGAGTTAGTAGGTGAGAATTTATCTTAGAAAACAAAAACAAAAACATTGAAGATATTTGAGCAGGGAAGAGACATTAAAGTGGTACTTTTGGAAAATTAAGTTTAGTGATGTTAATCAAAATGGATTCAACAGTGGAGTTTGAAGGTAGAAAGATAAGTTAGGGGGCCAGTGCAATAATCCAAAACTGAAGGGATATAATGAAAGTGAGTAGTGTGGAAATGAGAATGAGAAAGAAGAAACAAAAGCAACTGACCTGATAAAAGAAGGATGAACAGAGTTTACAATGTACTCACTTTCCAGACAGGTTTTGAAGTTGTGGGTGGGTTTTTAGGACATTTGATAAACTGGTATGTGTCCTGTGGTTAGATCCTATATCAAATTACCAGACTGTCTGTATGTCCTCTGGGAAAGCAGGGTGTCAAAATGCCACAACCACACAAACAAATGTAGCAGTGAAGTTAAAGCAGTGCACACAAACATATGGGACTCAGCTGCCTAATTAAAATCCTAGTGAGCCAACAATGGCCTAAAACCATAAGAGTTCAGTGACTGCCAAAAGAAAGCAGCAAATGACATACTCAGAGTGGAAACATCCCAAATTTGTCCGAATTGACACTCTCAACCAAAAACTGGCAAAATTTTAAATACCACTTCAGACCAGCTCAGTCAGAAATATCCAAATGTTGTATCAAATTTTAGATCCATATAATGATTTGACACAAAACATCTGGAACAGTAAATGAGACCATTTACTTTGTTGATAGCCAGAGCATTGAATAATACAGGACAGAATGAGGAAGAATACCATCTCACACTATTCCAAAATGTCTATGCTATTAAAACACATTTTTTTACATTTATTTTGTTCTTGTTAATATTTTAAAGTATATACCCAGAGGTTAATTTAATAAACTTAATTTAGTACATACTCAGCATTAAATATTAAATGAAAGGCCTCTAATAAAAGCTTTCTCTTGCCCTACAACTACTCAGTCTCTCAATCCTTCTCTCTCTAATCATATTTAAATAATTTAATGATTATATAAAAATCTTTAAAAAATGTATTTTTCCTTTAACATGTTTAGTTATTGTATTTTTGCTTTATGCTCTGAGAAATGAAGATTCATCTATTTTATACCACTTCCAACCTAGTTTTCCCCCAGTCTACACAAAAGCACTATTTCCACCGGTATGTTGGAGCCTACAAGCGCCAAATTGCAAAAGCTAATTGTTTTAGGAATTTTTCAAGCCAATTAAATGTTAAATATAGCCATTATTAAAAATTAAATTTCACAAGCTTATAATTAAACAAGTTATATTAAAAGTAAAGGTAACGAGGAGTGCCTGGGTGGCTCAGTTGGTTAAGTGTTCGACACGGTTTCAGCTCGGGTTCTGAACTCATGGGTCATGAGATTGAGTCCTGAGTCAGGCTCCATCTCAGGGGGAATCTGCTTGGATATCCTCTCCCTCTGCCCCTTCCCCAGCTCTCTCTCTTTCAAATAAATAAATAAATAAATAAATAAATAAATAAATAAATAAATATTTTTTAAAAAGTAAAGGTAACGAACATAAACATTTACACTTCCTAATTATGTCACTACATTTTACTATTATCTATGCTATTGAAGTTACTTACATTTATTGTATCTGTGTGGTACAAATACTATATACAATGCTATACTACTCCTTACACCTTCCCAACTCTGTGTCCAGTGGCACATTGATAACTTGATATTGACCATGGTGGGAGCATGTCACCACTGCAATCAGCAGATGTCACAAATCTGGGCTTTGATTGATTGGTTGGTTAATTGTCTAGACTTTAGACTCAGGAAAATAATGGAGAAAAGTTTAATAACGCAGATATTAACTTAAAAGTGTGTTGTGTCTGTACCCATTACATTGTGAATAGAACGAAAAATGAAGGGATACTTTTCCATTATTCATTTCAGCAAAGAAGTTGTTCACGTCATTAGCAAATGAGTGCAGTTCTAACATATGTCTTCATTGTTTCATTTTTCTTAAAGATGTATTTTATTTATTTGAGAGATAGAAATCATGAGCGGGAGGGGCAGAGGGAGAGGGAATCTCAAGCAGACTCTGCGCTCAGTGCAGTCCCATGCAGGGCTTGATCTCACGACCCTGAGATCATGATCTGAGCCAGAACCAAGACTTGGATACTTAACCAACTTAAGTTGGGGCACCCAGGTGCCCCACATTTCTCTTACTTGTTAAGGTAAAAGAAAATTCAACTAACATTCACATCAGAAGTATGTTCATTTTGTCAGTCACAACCATAGGTTAGCTATGGTTCCAAGAATTCAGCAAAACTCAACAAAAGCACAATGTGAGAATCAATGACTTTATAGAATTTGTTGTATATATTCTTGCATATTTCTTTATTTATAAATTGTGAGTTATATATCCTTTATACAAGTAAAATTTATCATAAGTGTATGTATGTAGATATGTGCATTTTTAGAGCATTTTTTAGTTTACCAGCATACTGGTTATATAATTATTTTTAAGAAGTTCATAAATAATATTTGCATATGTCATTGTATATCATTCACTGAAGAAACAGATGTTTTCTCTTAGATAAATGTTTTTCCTGAAGTTTCTAATTGCCTTTTTTTCCTTCTTGTAGAATCTTTATTTATAATTATTCTCCACTTTTATTTCTAAAAGCTCCATTGATCCATGATACTATGCTATCTTCTACAGGTATGGGGAGAAATAACCTTCTGAGCCCTCTGGCATTTTACTGCAATTTAAATGCATCCTAGGCCTCTGGCAGAAGAGTTACCCTGGGACTTTAATGACTCTTTTTTAATTTTTATATCTTAAATCTTCTTCTTTCTTAAGTTTCTTCTTTTGTTTTACTAGAAAACTTCCTCAATAAATTTCTTAAGAAACAGTATGTGAGAGAGAAATTTCTTGAGCCCTTGGACATCTTAAAAAGTCTTTATTCTGTGACAGTTTTACTGATAGCTGGACTAGTTATAGAATTCTAGCTTTGAAATTCTAGCATTTTCTCTCAAATTTTAGTTATTCCTCTATTGACTTCAAGCAATCAGGTTGCCTTGAGAAATTCAGTGACACTCTGGTATCTCCTCTTTGAAAGTAATCTAAATTTTCTCTTTGGAAATTTAAAAATTTTTTCTCTTTTTCCCTAGCATATTGCAGTGTAATACTTATGTGCCTTGATATGAGTCTTTTGTATTCACTTCAAAAGCATTCAAAGTGCCCTTTTGATCTAGAAACCTGCTATACTTCAGCTTTTATATTACATATTTGTTATATTTTTTCTTTCTGTTTACTCTGTTATTTCTTCCTAGAATGCCAATTAGTTGGCTCCTCCTTTAAGTCTCTTCTCCCCCATTTTCATATCTTTTACTTTTTGTTATACTATCTGAGAGATTTTCTTCCATTGATTTTTTTCAGCCATTATATTTTACTTCTCAGGAGATCTTTCTTGTTCTTTTGTATCTTTTCATTTTATTCTGCTCTAGTTTTATGGACGTAGTATCTTTCTTATCACTATAAGAACATTAGTTTTGGTTTGTCTTTTGAAGTTCTCTGTGGTATCACTGTTTCTCTGTATTTACGTTGTCTATTTGTTTATTTCTGTCTCTTCTTTCACAAAGCAAACTTTCTACAATTTTTTGCTGTTCCTTGATTGCTGTTCATATTGACAAGAGGCACATACACATGAAAAAAATGGTTGGAAGTTCTGTATAGAGTAAGTGGTTGTTTGTTTGTTTAAGATCTTATTTATTTGTCAGAGAAAGAGACAGAGCACAAGCAGGGTGAGTGGCAGGCAGAGGTAGAAGCAGGCTCTCTGCTGAGCAAGGAGCCCGATGTGGGACTCAATCCCAGGACCCTGGGATCATGACCTGACCTGAGCCGAAGGCAGACGCTTAACCAACTGAGCCACCCAGGCATCCTTCGAGTAAGTGTTTTAACCAGTGGATTCCTCTTTATGGTGGGTAGGCAAGGACATGTCCATGGGAATCATCTGGGGGAAACTCTAAGGCCAGCATGTGGAAATCCAGGAAAGTTCAATTTTTTTTTCATTTTTAAGATTATTTATTTCCTTATCTGAGAGAGAGCGTGCACAGAGGGAGAAGGAGAAGCAGACTCCCACTGAGCTGATGCAGGGATTGATCCCAGGACCCTGAGATCGTGACCTGAGCAGAAGGCAGACGCTTAACTGACTGAGCCACCCAGGCGCCCTGGAAAGTTCAATTTCTTCAGGGAAGAAAGTACTAATGGGGGAGTATGAGGAGTAATTTGCAGCTATTGTTATGCAATCAGTCTTTTTAAGGCCTTACATCTTACTTTCACTTTCCTCTTTATCTAGCATCTCTGAACCTGAAGCCTTTACAAAGTTCTGTGGGCACAAATCAAATTTCTATAATTCTATGTCCTCTTCTGAAAACACTCAATGGTAAATTTACCAATATAACACTTAGCTATAGCAATGATCTCTAGTCCATCTACTTACTGATTCCAGAATTCTGTTGAAATCTTTCTGGTTTCCAACAATGGCAGAAAAGTTTATTTAGACCACCCTCCAAGTGAAAATGACTAAAATTGCCAGATCAAATATTTGTTCCATCTTCTTTAAAGCATGAAATAGATCACAAGATATTAGGCAATTACCAGGCCAAAACTGAAGGGAAAGCAGAGACTAGAGAGAGATAAGCCAGCATAAAAGCAGTATTGCCCTAATGGCATTTGACAACCCAAGGGAATTAAAAATAAGGCCCGGGGCACACTCGCTGTTTAGATTCCAATAAGAGAAGCTCTCTTCAGTAAATTAAGGTTCCAAAGGACTACAACTTCATAAAATAGGGAAGCATTATCACCTGGGTGGATCAAGGAACCTGGAGCCATGAACACAGTTAAGGTGATTCCAGGCTGGTATTTACTGCTACCTGACAGAAGCAATGCAAAACTTCGCTGGAGATGGCAAACAGAATAAATTAAAAGAAATTCAAGTGGAAAGAGCAGCACTGCAAAGAAAACTATAAATTTCAAAAATCATTAAAGCACCCAGAGATAAGAAGGAAATTAACTAAAAATAAGAAACAGGCAGTTAGCTTCTCAACAGCAACAATGGAAGCCAGAAGATAGTGGGATTCTATCTTTAACGTGCTAAAAGAGAGTATTTGCCAACTGGAATTCTACAACTAGTAATTGTTCAAGAATAAAGGCATTATAAAGATATTTTAGGAAAAGCAAAAACAGAGAAAGAAAGCAAAAACCACCAATAAATCTTCAGTAAAGGAAATTCTGAAGAGTATACTTCAGGCACAAGGAAAATACTAGATAGAATCCTACAGACGACAAAAGAAATAAAGAGCAAAATAAAGTATGTAGATAAATCTAAAAAAATTGTCTTTATAAAATAACAATAGTAATATCCATTGAATTAATCAGCTCATGACAACAATACCACCTGTCCAAACAGGAATGACATATATGAGGTTGTTGTCCTAAGGACCTTTATTGTCTAAGAAGAGAATACAGGTATTGATTACTTTTAGACTTCGATTAATTAAATATTCATGTTGTAACTTCTAGGGAAACCACTAAAGGAACAGAAATAGAGCATATGATTTCCAAAAACAGTTAAGGTAGAAATCAATAAGAAAAACAACTAGAAAATATATTTGGAAGTTAAGAAATAAACTTCTGAATTTTGCATTATCAAAGAAGAAATCATAATGGAAATGAAAAATTATTTTGAACTACAACAGAGTTATTACATCAGACCCCTTCCATCTTGGAAGGGCTAACAGTTCATCCTTGGAAGGGTAGATCCCTCTGCCATATTAGTAATGTGGGAATTCTCCCACTAGAGAATGGCCACTATCCCACTCTCTTTGACACTGCAGAGTGTGAAGAGTTTTTATTACTTTCAGTTTAGACAAGTCTCTAGAGGAAAAGGAGATGAACACACTTTTCAATCAGCCAGTTATAGCAAAATTCCATTAAGTCATTTTAAACAGCTATACGAAATAACACAATCCTATCCACCATTTCTCCCTTTTTTCCTTTCTCTAGGCTTTTAAATTTTTACCATTTAAATAAACAAATAAACAATCCCTACCTAGTTTTTTTTTCAAGTATAAGACAGATTGATTTACAAGCCATCTATATTGCTGAGAATTTTTGCTAATTCCACTTCTTTTCATTACAGGACTTTATTTATACTTAAAATATTTTTACAAGCACCCTTAAATGCTCTTTCAAAAAAATTCTTCCTCACATTAACTCAGGTGATAAAACCAGTTTTCTTACAATGAAAACCAGCTGGTATCTACCTTCTGATTTCTATCTTTTTCCCTCTTTTACCCAATTCAAGTGAAACAGTATTTTTTGTGGGTTAGGGAACAGATGCACAGAAAATCGTTATAAAATTCTCAAGTTTTAAGCATTAGGTGGGGGCGGGGAAGTGTGTGGATGTGTGCGTTGATCCATTTTGTGTTAAAGGTAGGAAATCTTGAGCCAGGTATGTTATTTGAGATAGAAAATTAGTTTCATGATAACAAAAGCAGACAAAAACAATCTTCAACTGAACTTAGTCTCAAACATGTTGACAAACCATATAAATAGGGGACTGCATTTTACTTTCCTGAATGTGTCTGAGTTAATCTGCATACTAAATAAAAGCCTTTTTTGGTCTATTAACAGAGTGTGGTTAAATACTTTTCAAATGGAAAGTTACACAATAAGAAAATATTTCATTCATATCTTTAAAAATATTTCTAAGAGAATTTTAATTCCTAGAAACAACCTACCAAATAATAACTTGTAGAATTAAATTAAATATTTGTGTTATCTTTCTATTTAAAATAAATAAATAGGGGCACCTGGATGGTTGTCATCAAGCATCTGCCTTCGGCTCAGGTCATGATCCCAGGTCCTGGGATCAAACCTGCATCAGGCTCCCTACTCCACAGAGAGCCTGCTTCTCTCTCTCCCACTCCCCCTGCTTGTGTTCCCTCTCTCGCTGTGTCTCTCTCTGTCAAAATAAAATAAAATGAAATCTTTAAATAATTAACTAATTAACGTATAAACGTTTGCTCATCTTATATAATAGCGCTCTATTTTCAGTAAACATACAGTTCACTGAATTTTCATTTGCCTGAAAATACATCTGTATTAATAAAACAATTTGTGGTAGTAAAAAACTGTTAATATATATATATCTATTATATATATTAATAAATATATCTATTATATAGATATACCTATACTATATATATATATATATATATATATATATAT